GGAACACCTTCTGGAGATGATGGCAAATGCACAGCACGTGACTGTACTCAACAATACCGGCCTGTCTTCTTTAAAATGATGAATGTGGCAAATTTATGTTTTTGTTTGCTGGTGTTGGGCTCCATCTCAAGTTCTCCTGCGTGTAGGCAAGCGCTCCACCACGGAACTGCATAGAGGTATTTTTACCACAATTTCAAAACTAGAAAAAGTACAAATAGCCAGGTGTGGTGGTGCATTCCGGGGGCTGAGGCAGGAGTATGGCAAGTTCAAGGTCAGCCTGGGCAACTTAGCTAGATCCTCTATCAAAATGAGAAGTAAAGAGGAGCTGAGGTTGTGGCTCGCCTAGCCTGGGTGAGGCCCTGGGTTTTGATTCTTGATTTATTATAAATAAATAAAATAAAGGTCCATTGACAACAACAACAACAACAAATATTTTTTAAAAAAGGATTCGGGACGCAGCCCAATGGGGGGTGGTGGTGGTGTGGGGGTGTGTGTGGGGGGTGGTGTTTAATCCTTGGTGCCAAAAAAAGAAAGCCCTCCCTTCCCGAGGGCCCTACACAGGGTCCCTGGGCCACCCTTTGCTACCAGCAATGGCTCTGGGTGGCCCCCGACCTCGGCTTGGCAGCCCCTTCCGGGTCTGGGGCGCGGAGTTCTCCCGGGTCTCTTCCAGAAGCCGGGTCCCCAGGCAGGTGGAATTCTCCTTTCTAATCCCATACATTTTTCTCCTGTTATTGCTCTGCCGGGCCGCGAGGGCGCACCGCTGGCCTGTCTCTAATTTAGGGACTGAAGGAGCCCCGCGATCCCGCTGCGCTGCGTAGAATGCGACCCCGCCACCCTCCGCGCCCCGACACCGCGCAGCCGCAAGGGCTCCCTCCGCCTGCAGAACCCGAGCCCAAGCGGCTGGGGAGCTGCGCGCCAGCCTTGACCTTGGAGCAGAGGGAGAGGCTGTTGCAATTATGAAGCCACGTTTTTCTGCTTCATTTCCAGCACTTAAAAATCTTTTTTTTTTTTTAAAAAACAATGCTTGATTCCATCTCCAGCATCGCAAAAACATAAAGGAAATTTAATTAAAGAATAAAAATAAATTAAAAATGCCTGAAAGCAAGAGCTATGTGCAGGGGGAGAAGGATGAAGGCTAAAATTATAATAAGCTTCCCTTTTGTTGTTTGGGCTGCTGGAATGCGTAAATTTTTTTTTATAAAGAAACGTTTTGATGCAAGCCTGTAATTCCAGAGGCTCCAAAATCTGAGACAGGAGGATGACAAGTTCAAAGCCAGGCTCAGTAATTTAGCGAGGCACTAAGCAATTTAATGAGACCCTGTCTCAAAATAAAAAGTAAAAAGGGCTGGGGATGTGGCTCAGTGGTTAAGCACAGCTGGGTTCAATCCTTTGTATAAAAATAAAAATCCTATTTGGATATTTCCAGGGACAAATTGCAAGGTTTAAGCCAGGCACAATGGTGCACACCTGTAATCTCAGCCTCTTGGGAGGCTGAAGCAGGAGGATCAGAAGTTTGAGGCCAACCCCCCACAACCTGGGGAGACCCTGTCTCAAAATAAATAAAAAAGGCTGTGGATCTAGCTCAATAGTAGAGCACCCCAGAGCTCAATCCCCAGTATCTGAAAAAAAAAAAAAATCTTTTGAAGCCTTAGACTTCAGGGATTTGTACCCTATTGCCCTGTTCTGCCTAATTGTGTCCCTAAATCTATACTGGGTCCTATGACTGACTTACTTCTCCACATCTTCAGTTATGAACTGAATACTGTGCCCCTAAACCCAGAGATTGAAGCCGTAACACACAGTATGTACCACTGGTGTGTACCTTGTGCACCAAGACAGCTTTCAAGTGATTCTTTAAACAATGGGCCATGCTAACTTTAAAAGAAAAATATCAGAGTCGCTTGGAGAGGTTTATTGAAGCTGTGCAGCTTTCCCACAATCCAAATGGCTTCTGGTGTATAGGCTGCATGATGTCTCTCCAGTCACAAGTCCCCATCACCACGCCAGGACAGGTGAACGAGGTTCATTCTGCAATGTCACTCGCCATTGAGCTGCAGCTGAAGGTGGGCCCTGCTGCTGGGTATGGTCAGGCTCTCTGGAAAGTCTGTTTACACACTTGACCTTCACAGAACATTTCCTGAGACAGGGAGGAAAGGAAGAAGAGAAGTAGTTAGCGTATAGTCTGTTTTGACGCTCAACACTCTGACATCAAATAAGCAGGGTTCTTTCCTCCTGTGTGTGGTGTCTTTCCAACCCTACTTCTACAGCTCTCTGACATCACCTGGGTGTTCAACAGTCCAGTTCAGTTCTGATGCTACCTCCCACAGTCAGCACAGACCCCAAGGTGAAGGGCTCAGTCCTATCTTAAGAGGGCCACCTGTGCTTCTGATTAACCAGCTTTAAGTTGGGAATTCCCATGATCCACCTCCTCTGGCTCGATAGGTCAGCAGAATGGCTCACAGAACCCAGAAGAGCACTTTTTTTAAAAAAATATTTATTTATTTATGTATCTTTAATTTTAGGTGGAAACATTAGTTTGTTTTTAATGTGGTGCTGAGGTTCAAACCCAGTGTCTCGCGCATGCTAGGCGTGCACTCAACCACTGAGCCACCACTCCAGCCCCGAGCACTTGTGATTATGTGTTCATGATAAAGGACACGGGAGAGATGCATAGAGCAGATGGGTGAGGGGCTTCCCTCCTCTCTTCAGGGGTACCTCAAGATGATCTTTAAATAGCACACATGCCTATCAGTTTGGTTATTTGTACCCAAAATGCAGGACCTGTGGACTTCTACCATTACCGCCCCCTCTTGTTGTTGAGAGACTTTGGACAAATCATTTTAATCTGTCTAAATCTCCCTGCCTGTTGGTTAAAGGGTACTCAATAATTCAGCAACTTTAAGGGACCTTAGAAAATCTAATTAACATTTATAAAGCTATTTGAGAGTTCCTTGAAAGTTGCCTAGAAAGTCTTTATAAATATTAATAATAATAAAGTCACCAAAACTGATCACTTGGATGTGGAGCTTGAAACTTAGTAAGTTTAACATTTTGAATTCAACTGAGAAAGCTTAATATTTTGAATTCATATTCTGTGGAGTGTTTGATTTAAAAGGACAAAATGATCTTGCCTATGACCACTAGATGTATTCAATAAATATATGGTCCATTCAATGGGAAAACGATTTAAAGACCTGGAAAAGGTTATTATTTTATTAAATAAAAAGGCAGAATATTCTGATAGAGAAGGAAGGTAATTTGAAAATTCAAAAAACAGTTGAGTTGGGAGTGTAGGATTACTGGTCAAGGTTTCCTGCTTAACATTTCTTTTAATATTGCATGACTTCATTAAAACTAAGGGCAAAATATGTCAGGTACCAGGTGGAGCTTGTCTCCTTCGATCCAGTGGGTCCAACCTCTGTTCTTCTTCTCCCCATTCTGTACACAAGTGAGTCTGTCATGATCCCAGGTAACCAAGCTCTATTGAGGAAGGAAAGAAAATGTTGGTTTGTTCCAGCAGGATCCTCAAATATTACTAAGTAGACTCCTGTGCCAAGTTAACCTTGCAAAATCAAGAGTCTATGTTATCACTTTAATTTTTACCTCGTTTGTTTTTAGGGGGTGTGCTGCTGGAGATCAAACCCAGACCCTCTACCACTGTGCTATGCTCCACGCCACTTACCTTGCATTTTCTGTTATCCAGTCCTTTGTTATCTTCATCAAATTCTTCTCCCACTTTGAATTTAACGAGGTAGTTCCTTAGGCTACTGTATGTGTGGATGGCAAAGGAATCCCCATTTTGTTCGATCACTTTCTGTGGCTTTAGCAATTTGGCTATCTTACGAGTGGCAAAGTCAATACCTGAAAAATATATACATTTTAAAAAGTCTGAACATTCACTTGAGATACAAAAGCTAAGGATTTAGTAGTTGTACCCCAAATTGTTGCATATGATTGCTCCAGTGTCTTTACAACTTCAATATCTTCTGCTGCCCAAAATGGATCTATAGAAAAAGCTACCCCTATCTGTCTATAGAAAAATCTCCACCAAGAGACTCATAAAAATGGTTTGAAGGGCTTTCAGGAGGGTCATTAGTTGGGCTGGGCCTTAGGTAACACATCTGCAGCTGGGTGTGGCAGAAACAGTTCTGTGAATCTTCCGATAAACTGACAAGGGGACAGGGCTCAACCCAGCCTTAATCTCAACAACTCTGGTGTCTTCTTTTTTGGGGGAGTGGGGAGGGGTGGGTACTGGGGATTGAACTCAGGGGCACTCCACCGCTGAGCCACATCCCCAGCCCTATTTTGTATTTTATTTAGAGACAGGGTCTCACTGAGTTGCTTAGCAAATCACTTTTGCTGAGGCTGGCTTTGAACTCACAATCCTCCTGTCTCAAACCTCCCGAGCCGCTGGGATTACAGGCGTGCGCCACTGCACCCCTCAACTCTGGGGTCTTCTGCTCCATATATTTATACTTCAAATTAAAATGGCAAGACGGCTGGGGTGTGGCTTGGTGGTTGATCCCTTGCCTAGCACATTCAAGTTCAATCCCCAGCACAGTAGTGTCAGGGACTGTAAGGATGGCCTTAGGCCTGAGCCTAAGCAACCTCATTTTAAAAATTCCAGTTTGAAACCTGCAGTCTCATCAGGCACGCCTAAGAAAGCCCTCCGGTGTGGCCTACAGACACAAACAAGTCACTTCTCCCCACCCTGATAAACTCAGAGTGAAGCCTCTGGCAGGCTGTCCTCGACCCAGAAGAGGGAAAGGTGAAGAGATCAGGGTGGGGACCACCAGACCAGAAGTTTTAACCCAGGGTAAATGATGTCACTGAGAAATCCAAAATCAAAATTTAGTATAAATAATCGAGCAAATGAACAGATATTCAGCCAGCTGTTACCGAGGCATACAAGCTGGAAAACCTGGTGAGGACCTGGACTGACATCCCAACTCGTCTCATCTGTCTAGACCTCTGCGTGGTCCTCACCACTCTAAAACTCTACAGCCACATCTTGACCCTGGTGAGAGTCACAGCTTCTCCCTGTGACTGCCTTAGGCCTGAGTGTCAGCCATCAGTGTCACCCAGGAGGAGCCTGCCTTGGTTCCTGACCTGATCACCACGGTCTGAGTGAATGTGCATGTGCTACACTTAAAGTCTAAGGCTTGAGACTTTTTTTTTAATATTTATTTTTTAGTTTTAGGTGGACACAATATCTTTATTTTTATGTGGTGCTGAGGATCAAACCCAGTGTCTCATGCATGCTGCTAGGTGAGCCCTCTACCACTGAGCCACAACTCCAGCCCAGGCTTGAGAGTTTTGATCTGACACTTGAACTTAACATGCAGAGGGAAAGTCTGTCTTGAGCCTATCATAATTGTGTTTGCAGTGCTTACAATTAATCTCAAATTAATGCAGTGCCTAGCATTAAGGATTGTCATTTCTTTGATTAAGAACCTATAGAGGGCTGGGGATGTGGCTCAAGCGGTAGCGAGCTCGCCTGGCATGCGTGCGGCCCGGGTTCGATCATCAGCACCACATACCAACAAAGATGTTGTGTCCGCTGAGAACTAAAAAATAAATATTAAAAATTTTCTCTCTCCTCTCTCACTCTCTTTTTAACAAAAAAAAAAAAAAAAGAACCTATAGAGTGAAATTGTATTGAGTGATTTGAGTGAATAAGCATTGACAAAGGCAGAAGTGCGTGAACATTCTTTGTTTCTCCCCTTTAACTGCAGATGTTGCGCCTTTTGCCCCTTGAGACAGGGACTCAGAGGTAGAGCACATGCGCAATGCCCAAGGTTCATCCTCACACCAAACAGATAAACAAAACAAAAAAATAAACCTTTTGTGCTCATGAATGTAATTTGCATACTGAGAAGTCTTTAATAAGCTCGCCAGGAGCAGTTTCGTACACATGTGATCCCAGTGACTCAGGCAGCTGAGGCAGGAGGATCCCAAATTCAAGGTCAACCTCCGAAACTTAATGAGAATTTGACCCACAGTTAGACCCAGTGAGATGGGAGCCTAGGAGTGTTTAGAGTAGGTGACATGATCTAAGTGGCAGGAAGCCACAGTTTAGATGCCTGGTCCTCAGCAGGAACATAGCCCTGAGCTAAAGTCACGTGGTTCTCACCTGTCAGGCTGGGGTGGGGGGAGGGATTAACCCTATTATTAAAACAAAGTCCCTGGAATTTTTATTTCAGAGACTTAAAAGCTTGTTGCAGGCAGTTTGATCCTAGAGTGGATCCCACTTCCATGTGTTCACCTAAAAGATTTGTTTCTGTCGGGAATGGACTGCCCTGCAAAGAGGCGAGCGGGCTCCCCACGGGCCAAGTGCCTCCCACTTCCATTTCACATCTAGAAAATGTGGCCAAGACTGAGCAAGGCTCCCTTGGCAACTTATTAGCCTCATTCACTTCTGCCCACGATGAGAGTATAAATAAATGTCCTTAAGAAAATGCTTTGCTTTTTGGTTTTTTGGGGATTTTTGTTTAGTATTTTGTTTTTACCTAGAACTCCGGCTTTTAGCTTGAGATGTGAATGATCCAGGCTTATTGGTTTTCAATCATGTTTAGGCATTGAGAGTGTACCTTAAAATACTTATCCTATTATTAATATGACAAGCCAAATGCCAAATTTAAAATATCTATTACTGACTTTCCATCAACACTACTGTGTAAGTGAAACAGTCTTGTTATATTTATTTATTTTTGTGGAACTAGGGATGGAACTCAGGGTGCTATACCAATAAGCCACATCCCCAGTCCTTTTTTGCTTTTTATTTTGAGACAGAGTTTTACTAAGTTGCTGAGGCTGACCTTGAACTTGTGATCCTTCTGCCTCAGCCTCCCAAGTAGCTGAGATTACAGGTGCACGCCTGACTTGTTTGTTGTTTCTATTGGGATCTTATCTCCCAATGTGTTTGATTAACTTTAAAATTCAATGAACACTGTATTTGAGAAGGTATTTATGGAAACAATTTAAGATCTTGCAGAATTTTTAATTACTTTAAAGAGAATTTTGTTTGTTTGTTTGTTTGTTAGTATGTCTTGTTTTACAGCTATCTAAGAACCCTAATTATCTGGAAGCACCTTAACACAAGCTCAGGTCTTGAGACTATTCTGGACCACCAAGATGACACAAAACTAAGTTCCAGTCTGTTCAAGAAGCATTTACTTCCAGATGGTTTTTTACTTCTCTGGTGCAGCTTTTCCAAGTCCCAGCCCAAAGTAGAGCAATTACAGGGTCTCTACCCTTGGCCCACTCAAGACTCCAGCTTTTGACCCCTATCCCATGAAGCTCCCCAAATTCTGGCTTAGTCTTACAAACACCCTGAAGGTAAGAGCCACCCTAAGTGATGGGTTCACCTCCTATAGTTCAGTTCTCTCCCAGACTTCAGCCTGGTGATTATTATTTTGGTAGCTCTCTGATGTTCCCTAAGAAGTTTATATTCTGGGGCTGGGGATGTGACTCAAGTGGTAGCGCACTCACCTAGCATGCATGAAGCACTGGGTTCGATTCTTAGCACCACATAAAATTTTTAAAAAATAAAGATACTGTGTCCACCTAAAACTAAAAAATAATAATAAAAAGAAGTATATATTCTATATTTGATCTAGCTTAATTCAGCTGTCTTCAATGGGAGAGTCAGTACAAGTACATTAGTTTGCCATGTTCAGAAGCAGATGTTTTCATGAAGTCTGAATATTTCTGCTTATGTTGGCATTAGAATATACACAAGCAGGGACATTAGGTTTTGCAGTATTTACATTCTACTAGTTGTCTCATTGACAACTTGAAAATTCAAAGAGCAGTGTGCTTCTTATGCTCATGAATGTAGTCATCTAGGATGAAGCAGCCCTACTTTACATAATAAGAAGACCACAGTCTCATCTGGCCTCGACCACTTATTCACCCAGGGGAAAACAAGTGAACTGTAGAGTCCATTCTGTACACATGGAAGGTAGAGTGTTTGCCAAACAAATAACAGGGTGTGCCTAATCATTTCCTTCCCAGTTTACTGGGAATTGGAATAGGTTTTAACGCTGGATTTCAGCTATTGTATAAAATGCTAAGAGATCTGTGGTTGTACTTTAGACATACTTAAGACTATCAGATCTGGCTGGGCACGAACCAGAACCTGTAACCCGAGCTACTCAGGCGGCTGAGGCAGGAGGATGGCAAGTTCAAAGCCGGTCTTAGCAACTAAGAGAGACCCTTAGCAATTTAACGAGACCCTGTCTCAAAATTTAAAAAATAATAATAAAAAGAGCGCCACTAAATTCAATCCCCTGTACACCCTCCCCCCCCCAAAAAAAACACCTAAAAAAAAAAGTGCCAAAGACATCTGGAGATGTAACTAGGTGGTAGAGCGCTTGCTTACCACGCTGGAGGCTGGGGGCCCTAGGTTCAACCCCAGTACGGGCTAGGGGTGGATGACACGCAACGGTGTCATGTAGGCGAAAGGCTTGGCACATAGTAGGTGCTGAAACCCGCCAAATCTGAAAAATGACAATAAGGACAGGACAGACAGAATCAGTGCCCAAGGGCGGCGCTCTACCGAGATGGCGGGAAAAAAATTCACGTGGCCCTGGGGGAAGCGAGGTCGCGCATCAGAAGCCCCACCGGGCCCTCTCCACACCCTTGCGGGAGACCGAGTTCCCTTCCCAGCGGCTCATCCCTCTCGCCGCAAACCAGGTCCCCTTGAAGCTGATCCGCGATTGCCACCGCGGAAACGGTCCCAGCGCCTGGCACCCGCCCTGCAGCCACCGCCGACCGACTCTGTCCTCGGGGCGGCAGTCGCGCCCCTGGACAGCACGGTGGGCGGCAAGTGGCCTCCCAACGCTCGGGGTTCCTTTCCCGGCGGGAGCCCTCGAGCGAGGGGAAGTCGGGGCTGTCGCAGTTCCCACGCGGCCCGGACCTGCGGGCCCCCAGCACCTGCCGGACCGCCGCGCCCTCGGTGCCATCCCCGCGCTGAACACGGCTGGGGGCGAGGTGGCGGGGCTGGGGCTACGTGCGGGGACCTCGCCTTGCCCGCCAGGCCCTCGTCCAGCCCCGGGTGTTCCGAGAGGCGTCCGCAGGGAGGAGAGAGACCCACACGAGGCTCAGAGGGACCCTGGGGCCGCGGACTAGGGCCCCGAGAGAACAGGCGGGAAGGCGGGTAGCGGGACAGGGGGGACAGGGGAACGGACGGATGGACCGACAGAAGGACGCGGGGATGGACAGACGGGGGATGGAAGGTCGGGCGACAGACAGGACAGGCCCGGCCGCCTTCGCCCTGAGCTCCAGACCGGTGGTCAGAGCCCCCTCCGGCGTCCCCCTCATGGCGCGGGCCCCTTCCGTCCTACCTAGGGCCAGCATGTAGCCCTCGAAGTTGTCGCTGCTGAGCAGGTTCCAGGTGCCACTCAGGTCAGCCGGCATGGTCGGGGGTCAGCGGCCAACACCTGCGGGCGGCGGGCTGCACAGCCAGAACTTTCCAAATGGGGCGGGGGGCGGGGCCGAGAGGACGGCAGCGTGGGAGGAGCTGGACCGCCCGCAGCGCCCAGCTCCCAGGGGGGCCCCTCTGGCTGCCCGCTCCTTTAGCCATCGCGCTAGCCACTGCCCCCGCCCTTGGCAACTCGGGCTCCCTTGGGGCTGGCTCCTCTCCTTTACCTCTAAACGCAGGCGAAACCCAGACCATGTTCCCTACCGCCCCCCTTTTTTGTCCCCTTGCCTACATGTTAATGACCAAGAATGGTCTTCAAACTCATGACATTAAATACTGTATCCACTGCAAATACCAATAGATCCATAAACCCAACTCTGTGATCAGGGATCTCAATGAACAGGGGCTTATTTTTCTTCCCAACCAGTCCTGAAATGAGCGCTTGCTGGGGATGGCTCTGGGGATGGCTCGCAGCTCGGATCACCGAGGCCCTTAGTGCCTGTCACCTCACTGTCGTGAGTTGGCTGCGGGGTTTCCAGCCAGGACATCCTGACCCAAGGTGGGGAAGACCTGAAGCACCGCTGGCCATTACCCGCATGGCAGAAACCTCCTCAGCAGAGTTTTGTTTACATCTTAAAACCGCCCCAGGCCGCTGTCCTTTTTTTTTTTTTTTTTTTTTTTTGGTACCAGGAATTGAACTCAGGGGCACTCCACCATTGAGTCACATCCCCAGCCCTATTTTGTCTTTTATTTAGAGACAGGGTGGCACTGAATTGCTTAGCACCTCACTTTTTCGCTGAGGCTGGCTTTGAATTCGCAATCCTCCTGCCTAGGCCTCCCCAGCTGCTGGGATTACAGGCCTGAGCCACCTCACTTGGCTTATACGTGCATTTCTGACCTTCCCCACGAGCTCCAGTCTCAAACATATATATTTTTTTGTGGTGCTGGGGATTGAACTCAGGACTCTATGCATGTGAGGCAAGCCCTCTACCAACTGAGCTATATCCCCAGCCCCACGTCTCAAATATATTGACAGTTAACTTTGTGTATTATCATTTGTCACGAAATTGTATTCTTCTCCAATAGTTACTTTATTATCTCTGTTTGACAGAGACAAAACTGAGACACAGAGAAGTTAAGTAATTTGCTGAAGATCATACAGTTGGTGGAAGAGACCCCTGAGCTCATGTGCCACCTGTCACCTTCTACTCTGTCTCCACTTATGTCTTTTTTTTTAAATGAGAGAGAGAGAGAGAGAGAGAGAGAGAGAGAGAGAGAGAGAGAGAGAGAGAGAGAGAATTTTTTTAAATATTTATTTTTTAGTTCTCAGTGGACACAACATCTTTGTTTGTATGTGGTGCTGATGATCGAACCCAGGCTGCACGCATGCCAGGCGAGCGCGCTACTGCCTGAGCCACATTCCCAGCCCTCCACTTATGTCTTAAAGATATCTGAAACTTGACACATCCTAGAAAGAAAAAAGTTAAAAAATATTTATTTATGTATCTTTAGTTTTTTATTTTTTTAAAGAGAGAGAGAGAGAGAGAGAGAGAATTTTTTTAATATTTATTTTTTAGTTTTCGGCAGACATAACGTCTTTGTATGTTGTGCTGAGGATCGAACCCAGGCCACATGCATGCCAGGCGAGAGTGCGCTACTACTTGAGCCACATCCCCAGCCCTCTTTAGTTTTTTAGATGGATACATTAGTTTGTTTTTATGTGGTGCCTAGGATCCAACCCAGTGCATCATGCATGCTAGGTGAGCACTCTACCACTGAGCCACCACTCCAGCCCCAAAGAAAGAAATTTTAAGAACAAAAGTTTCTCCAGTTCTTCTCATCTCCATAAACTCTGCCATTAGTCACCTGGTTGCTCAAGCCAACAACCAGGAAGGTATTGTTGAATTCTCCCTTCCCTAGGCACCCAAATCCAATCAGTCATCAAGTCCTGCTGTTTTGCCATCTTAACCTGAGCTGCCTAGACCACTACAGAAGTGTGTGTCTGGATTTGCTGCTTTTCCTGGGAGTCCTTCCAACCATTCTCCACACTTCAGCCAGGGTGAACTTTTTTTTTTTTTTTTTAGTAGAATCTTTTTCATTTAGAAACAAAACACAAAATTGGAAAAAAATTTTCCAACCACACAGGAGGGGTATGGGTAGAGGGGAGGTATCTTTCCATTCAGCCCCAGCCCCAGCCTGTGGTTTTGGCAGCAATAAGGAATATGGGGTAATGGCCCCCAAAATAAAAATGGTGTGTGTGTATGGGAAGGAGGGGGTGAAAAAGCTGTGGGGAGTGGTGAGGGAAGGGACAGAAGAGGTCATACATACATATGTGTCAGAGGTCATACATACATATGTGTGTGTGTGTGTATATATATATATACACATATGTATATATGTATATTTTATATTTATTTTTTTAGTTGTAGTTGGACACATTACCTTTTATTTATTTATTTGTTTTTATGTGGTGCTGAGAATCAAACCAGGGCCTCACACTTGCTAGGCGAGAGCTCTACAGAACCCTTCTTGATCAGCCTCTGGCTACTTCACCAGCTGCATTACCTTAAGTCTGTCCAAACTCAGTGGCTCCAGTCATTCCAGTTTTCCTTCTCCCAGAGCTTGGTATTTGGTATTCTTCTTCCCAGGGTGGGATTGGTTGATTTTTGTATGGTTAAGTCCTTTGGCTTGTAGTTCCAGAGCACTGTTCAGGGAACAGTCTTTCCAATCCCACTCTCCAACAGGGAGAATTGTCTCTAGACGCCTGAAGTTTCTGTCCACCATCAGCTTCCTCCTCATGAAGGTAGGATGAGCTACTTGGATGGGGGCAACTAGGATGACTACCTGTCCTGGTTTCCTTGGAACTAAAGGAGGGCTTAGGACATGGAACTTTTCTTGCTGAAAGTACAAAACTTGCAAACTGGAATGAATGCTTGTCCTCGGGGCTGTAGCCACTGAGCCACTTTAATCCACCAGGGAGAGTTAATCTAACAAAATTTTTAACCCCAAAATGAAACTGGAAGTGTGTTTATTTTACAGATCCAAATTTTCCCTTAGGTAAAAGTCCAGACTGGAATAGTGTTTCAATTATTACCCCCCATAAAAAAAACAAAAAAAACAAAAAAACTCTGTTAGCCTGAAAATAATAGAAATTGGCTGGGGTATAGCTCAGTGATAGAATGTCTGTGTGCTTAGCATGTATGAAGCTCTGGGGTCAATCCCTGTAACAAAAATAAAAAAATTCGGGGCTGGGGATGTGGCTCAAGCAGTAGCGCGCTCACCTGGCATGCGTGCAGCCCGGGTTCAATCCTCAGCACCACATACAAACAAAGATGTTATGTCCGCCAAAAACTAACTAACTAAAGAAATAAAATCATTACTCACTAATGTGCAATTTGGACAGGACTCCCTAGGGACAGTTCATCTTAATTCAGTGTGGCATTAGCTGGAGTAAGTTGACTTGAAGGCTCTTCAGAATGGCTTAGGCTCATGACCAGAAAACTGATGCTAGTTGTGTGCCAGTAGGGAGCTCATCTGGGCCTGGGAGGCAGGGGCCAGGTCCCTCTTTATGTGGGACTCTCTAGGGGAGTGCTTGGGCTCCTTCACAGCACCAGAGACTGGATTCTCAGAGTCCAAGAGAACCAGGAAGAAACTGTACTGGTCTCAGATGTCATATTAAATAATTTCTACCAGAGTCCCAGGCTTTCTGGAACTCACAGAGAGGGAGCTGTACTGGTATAGCCTAGTAGTACAGTGCTTGCCCAGAACATGTGAGGCTATGTTCCCAGATTGAGAAAACAAAGGGAAGGAACATGCACCTCATCCCTCCATGGGAGGAGTGTCAATGTCACATTGTGAGAAGAGCATTTAGGATGGGAGAGATTGTTATAGCCATCTTGGACACCATACCAACAATGGCCCTCGAACTAAGTTACAACTTCTAACCTAGACTATTAGTAATAAGGTGCCATTTAATTTTTTACTTGATGATTAAAAAAAAATCTTATTTCTCCATTGGCTTAGAACTTTAAAAAGTGGCAAAGCACTTGCCCTGCATGTGTGAAGCCCTGGGTTCCACCCACAGCACCACAAAACAAAACATAAAACCTCTGAGTCCCCTTCTCAGAACAGCCTTCAGTACAATGCTGACATCCACACGCTCCACTTCACAGCTCGGCTTGTGCCCTTCATAACTGCCATATTCTACAAACATCTCTTTTCTCCTTATTTATTGACTGCCTTTTTCATGCAAGGCAGAGACCGTGTTCCTGTCACTCCCCCCTACAGTATTCCCAGGCCTACCACAGTGCTTGGCAAGTGCCTAATAAATGTCTAAGACTGATTGAATGAATGATTTTGACCTTTCCCAAGAGAGAAATGCCATTTTTCTTGAGAAGCCCATGTAACAGCACCTTGCCCAGAATGAGCTGCCAGTTCTCATGAGACACTGACTTACTTGGTGGAATCTGACAGGCTTAGGTATACCTTGCCATTTAAAGGAGACAGAACCATGAACTCTGACCAGATTTCCAGAGCATGGGAACAGGACATGGAAAAATCATACTTCCTCTCCTTAAAATCTTATTGTTCTCAAACTTGACCTGAAATGAAAGCCATGGAAACACTACTAATTATTTAGCCTTTGTGCTAGTTGGTATGGCTTTGGGCCAGTTTGAGCAGGGGTCATCCTGTAGGGATGGACTGAATTTCAGTTGATGTGGTCAGAGGCTGGACTTGCCTATAGATCTTCCTCCTAGTCAGTACCAAAGGTTATCTCTGGAAAGAATGAAGAAATTTATTTGGCCAAAACTGAGCACTTTCTTTCCTTTTGTTTGATGCTAGTGATTTGGCCAAGACATGGTGTTTTTTAAACTCAGTGTTCTTAACCACTGAGCCATATTCCCATCCCTTTTTATTTTTTTAACTTCAAGACAGGGTCTTGAAAGTTGCTTAGGGCTTTGCTAAGTTGCTGAGGCTGGTTTTGAATTCATGATCTTCCTGTCTCAGCCTTTTGAGCTGCTGGGATTATAGGAATGATCAGATTCTTTTTGATGTAAGGCACTCAGGAGCACATGCCCAACATACAGTAAGGGCTCAATAAGTGTTGGCATTATAAAGTTCAAACAGCACCACTGGCAAACAAGGTGCAGATTTCCGAGATGGGCACTGTTTATGCCTTCTCACAGTTGAGTGGATACCATGGTGGGTGATTTAGATGGAAGCCTTTGGAAACAATCTTGAGAGTGGCAGAGTAATGAACTTCCTATAGTACCCTGAAATAAATGTTAAAGGAGCCCATTTCATAACATAGCAACTACTGGGCTCCTAGAAAAGAGAATAAGAGAATTTGGAAAAAGACAGCAGCTCCCTTTACTTAGGTCAGATCGTCAGGATGGCACGGAAAGAAAGCATCCTTTGGTACAAGGAGATAAACCTGATGGATCCTCTGGCTCAATCCCTGTACCTGCATCACCAAAGAGAACCACTCGTACCAATAGATTTTCTGTACACACAGATAAACAACAAAGATGTTCTTCATGCACTATATTTTTTCTGAAGAGATGCCAGTAAAGGACTTTCACTGCTAAGTTTGGTTGCTGCACTCAAATTATACCATGCAAGGAGCAGAATTCGACCCATAAAAACCACCAACATCACCCATTTCCTATATTCTCAATTCACCTTCCAAAAGCATATTATGAAAAAATTGTTATAAGGAATAAACAATGGCATATTTTTCTCTCACTTAAAGGAAATCCCCACAATGGAGAATACCTGTTTCCCTGTGAAATTAATTGTTCTAATCTTCATTATCCAAAGAGAATGTTCTGTTCTGGAGGACACCCAAAACTATGCTATTCTGCAACAGATATCCTGGCAGCAGGATCTGTGTACAAAGCTGCTATTCCATAAATAGTGGAACGATAAAATTCTTTCCTAGACAATACATGTCCTGAGAATGTCCCCTGCCTGCATTCCCAGGGGGTCCTGATGTCAGTATAGATAAACACAGTATGGGCACTTGGAAGTGGGAAGAAACTTCTGATGAATGATGTGAGCTTTTTTTTTTGTGGTGCTGGGTATTGAACCCAGGGCCTAGTGCATACAAAGCAAGCATTCTAGCAACTGAGCCATATCTCCAGCCCTGAGGTGAGCTTTTCTGGAACTTAAAGCAAGTCTGATAGTTTCATCTGCCTGTAGATGGTTATTTTTCAGGTCTACTTCAAACTTTAAGCTCCGAAAGTCAAGTGGGTGGAGGAAATGATCCTCATCTCTATGATCTGAGATTCTGACCCTTTATTCACTTGGTGGACTCCGGCTGAATCACATGGGTGCCAGGCTTTGTGCCTCTCCTGTCTTTGCTAGTTGGCCTGACAGCTTTAGTAAGGATAAGTTTGGCCAGGCGTGGTGGCGCAGGCCTATAATCGCAGCAGCTCAGGAGGCTGAGGCAGGAGGATCATGAATTCAAAGACAGCCAGCCTCAGCAGAAGCGAGGTGCTAAGCAAATAAAATACAAAATAGGGCTGGAATTGTGGCTCAGGGTTCAAGCATTTGCCTAGTGTGTGCGAGGCGTTGGGTTGGATCCTCAGCATCACATAAAAATAAGTAAATAAACCCCACTCCTGCAAAAGATTAAGTTGGGTGTGGTAGAGTAAACATTTGTCAACTTTATTTAACATTTTCCTTTTTCCAACTGTAGCTTCATATCTGATTAAACAATTGCACAATTGTAAGTATTTTTTTTTTCTGAAGAATTATAAACCTTCATCTGGAGTGGTATAGGTAATAAATATAAATTACAAAAAAGTAAATTATTCTATTTTTGTTGGGAATTTAACCATGATCCTGTTTCTATTGTAGAACAATTTTAACAAACCATAAGAAGCTCTCTCTGGGGCTTGGCACAGTAGCATATGCCTGTAATCTCAGCAACTCAAGAGGCCGAGGCAGGAAGATCACAAATTCAAGGCCAGCTTCAGCAATTTAGAGACCCTGTATCAAAAATAAAACAACAAAAAAAAAATGGGCTGGGGTTGTAGCTTGAAGGTAGAGCACTTGCCTCAAATGCACGAGGCCCTGGGTTTGATCCTTACCCATAAAAATATTTTTATGCACCACATAAAAATAAAGACATTGTGACAATCTACAACTAAAAAAAAATTTAAAAAATAAAATAAAAAAATAAAACAAAAAGGACTGGCAGTGTAGCTCAGTGGTAGAGGGCTCCTGGGTTAAATTCCCAGTAATTAAAAAAAAAAAATTTTAAATAAGATGAAGAATTCCTTCCCTTATCCATCTTGGTGGAGAGCCCTACAATAGGCATATATAAAATGTCAGTTCCTTTCATAACTAAAGTTAGGCTTGGTGGGGGTTGATTCTGTTTTGTTTTGAGTCAGGATCTGGCTGTTGTCAGGTTGGTATTGAACTCTGGGCTCAAGTGATCCTCCTGCCTCAGCCTCTTAAGCAGTACCCAGCTAGAATCAGAATCTGGAGTGGACATTTGCTTTTCACACTTTGTTTTCTCTTGTGTGGTACTTATTTGGAGTTAGTTTCATTAATATTCTTCAGGTTTTAGTGAACTACTAGTCTCTTAAAAATAAAGGGATTTGTACATTCTTTTTTTTTTTTTTAAGGCCTTATTTAAGGCCTTATTATCATCTTAGCCACTCTGATAAAAAGAAAACATAAATCTTACTTTAATTTCCAGCGGACTTTTATCAGATTTTTAAAATTTTGTTTATGAAAGATAAAGATTTCTTTCCTGAGTTACAACACCAGATTGTTTAAAATCTCCAGAAGAGTGATCCAAACTGTCAAGCTGTAGCATTTCTATGACTTCGCCTCTGCAGTGTTTCTCTGCAAAGGAGCCAGGACAACCCCAACATTCCTGTCTTCGCTCTCAGAGCTGTACAAATCATGCTTTTCAATGTATTCTTGGACCAGATCTGGTACCAAGTATCGAATGCTCTGGCCCCTTCGGAGGGCTCTCCGGATCTTTGTGGACGAGATGTCGTTGTGGATCCACTCGTTCACCAGGTGAATGTTGCTCTGGTGTTTCCACAGCACATCGGACTCATAGATGAATTTCTGAGCATCACTTCCATCCCGAGTGACACATATGAGCCCATAGTCTGCCACGATTCGGGTGATATCCTCACTCTTCCACAAATTGGGCACACCGAAGGACTCTAGTAAATCTGCCCCACACAGCAACTTCACCTCTGGCACACCTGGGAGAATAATGAAGCAGAGTTTCAGAGTTGGCTTCTCCAATAACCCCCCACGGTTACAATGACTGTACGTATGTGTTTTTCAGGAAAGAGAGTTCAATTTTTATAAGATTCAGATTTCCAAAAATGATCCTGGACACCTCAAAAGCTAAAGTGCACTGCAGGAGAAGTAAGCGCAGAGCACCTTTCACTTTCTCTTCCTTCATGAAGCCAACAGGGCCACCTTCTGGGCACCAGATGTGAAATCCCAAGGGCGGCGGCTCAGCCCTGGAATCTGAATTATTCTAGTCTTGGTCTCTTTGGAGTGCTGGCGGAACTTACGAACCTTTTGTTTTGGGCTCTAGGGATTTCTTCTGACTAGAATCCTGTCTTTCTTCCAAGCACTTCCTCTTGCGTCCAGACCTTTCAACCACAGGCGAGTTCTGCCTTTGGTCACAGTTGCCAGCCTCTAGCTTCTCTTGATGGTGTCTATAAAACAATATAAAATAGTATTTCCTGCTTTCTTATGATGCTCCACTGAAATACTGTCCCTTTGAAGATGCTTAAGTCTCTGACCTAATGGTAAAATGGGGTGATATTCAAAATGTTTCATCACTGGTACCCACAGCACCCCACCAGTTAGGATGGCCAGTACAAGGTCAATCCTAGGATGTCTATCACCATTTTTTGTGTCTATGCCACAGCAGCAGGAGTCAACATGAATTATTTATTATGCCATGCATCACAGTAGAACCTCTGTGTGAATTGTCTGATTAAATCTTCTCCATTCCCATATCATAAATATCATTATCCCCATAATGAATGGGAAGATGGAGGCTTAGGGATGCAACTCTCCTTGTGGCAGAATCCCTGGAACATAGGAGGTATTTGATAACTTTTTTGGGGGTACTAGGGATTGAACTCAAGGGCACTCAACCACTGAGCCACAATTCCAACCCTATATTTAGTATTTTATTTAGAGATAGGGTCTCACTGAGTTGTTTAGCACCTCCCTTTTGCTGAGACTGGCTTTGAATTCATGATCCTCCTGCCTCAGTTTCCTGAGCCTCTGGGATTAGAGGCGTGAGCCACCGCACCGGCTTGACAACAATTTGATTGAATGAATGTTTTGGTTGTCACAAAGAAGTGGGATGACTCTCCCCTTTTTATCAGAATCATTTGTCATCCCCATTAAGAGGGGAGCTCACTAGTTTTGCCCACAGTCTTTGGGCTTGTACATAGCAGAGACAGCACTTGAACCCAGTAGTCTGGTTCAGACCCACACTTCTAACCACCAACAACTGACCTAGAACCACAACGCCAGGGATAAGGACCTGGAGGGCCAAGGGCCAGAGGCCCCACAGGAAGACACACAGGTGGATGTGTGCACAGCTCCATTCGGGGTGGGAAGAGGGTGCCACCACTTTACCACACTGTACCATTACCTCAGGTCCAGGAGCCACATTGTGGGACTCACTGAGGGGCCGTTGTGCTCTTAAATCCCTTCCCTCCTGAACAGCTGAACTGAATATGTAATAGGTTACCACAGAGCCAGAGAGGGATGGGTAGGACTAGGTTCAGAGCCTGGTCTCTGATTACAGAATTTTTTGCCAACAAGCAGAGGAGACTTTTCCCTGCCAAGCTTGAAAAGTGAGTCCTCCTGGTAAGTTCCTGCTGGACACCATCTGCCAGCTCAGGGCTCAGCTCTGTCCTAAGCACACTGCCCAGAGGCCTCACAGTAGCTTCTGATGTGGCTGGGTTTCATGATGAGACTCTCGAGAGAGACCTGGGAGGCAGGGATTATTATTACTCTGGGGCTGAGCAGCCTGACAAGTAGCCTCTCGCAGTGTGTGCATGGCTGCGGACTCCACACTCCACTGTCCAGTCCCCAGCGTCTGGAGCCTGAGGAAGCTTAACGGCTGCAGAGGTGGCAGCAGGAGCAGAATTGATTTCCTGATCTCCCACAGCAACTGAGGGGGCAGGACCTAGAAACACACGGTGGCATCCACTCTTCCAGCTCTTCTAAACACTTGTGCCTGAGCACCTAAACTCCCCTTCACTTTAGTACTCAGAGTGGCCTCTATTTCTTATTCTGACCACCCCCCCCATACTATCAGTAACCAGAAGGCTCAGAACTCTAAGAACAGAAAGTTTTTTCATAAAGCTTTTTAAATTTGCCTTCAAGATAATCAAAGAAATAATTAGATATTACTTACTCTGGCTTCTGAACCCTTAAGTGGAAGTTTTAAAAGTATAAGCACAGAGGTCTGTGGTATTCCCCTGTCCCTGAGCAAGCATCACCTACAGCTCCTCATCCTGAAGCCCCCTGTTTCTCTCTCATACTGAAGACAGATGACAGCAATATCCTTCTGCAACTCTGCCTTTCTGACCTGAGGCTCAGACAGGCCAGGCAGACTGCCTCAATTTCCTGACAAATATTGCAGGGTACCAAACATGGGGACATCTCAAACCACGACGACAGACTCAAAGGCTAAGGAACACACAACCTCTGTGCTGTGTTCTATAGCCTGTGGTGCCCTTCCATGGAAATGGCGCAGCCATGTCTTTCCAGCTCTGGTGACAGCTTTGCAAATCTGTACATTCAGATGTAAGACAGTACTGAAACATGGCAAAAAGAAGCCACAGAAATGGTAATGTTAATTTCAGTATTACTACCTCAGCACCTTTTTTTTTTCCCAACTATTACTTTATTTATATTACTATGCTTAAGTTACATGGAAAAAGACAACCAAGCAGTTCTGCCCCATTTCAGAAAAAGGTTCCAATCAACACCAGTTATGTGGTGACAAGTAACTAGGAATGGTGACTTCTTTGGGTTGAGACTGACAAGGCTCTGGTGCTACGGGTTCATCTCCAACAAGAATATGACACACGGGCCTACACAAGCCATGCTAACACTGAGCCTTTAGCGCTGGGCACAGATTCGGATCTCTTCTCTGAAGCTAGCAAATCAAGTGAAATAACTGGGTTTAAAAAAAAAAAGTTTTAAAATGAAGCCCAAATAAGTTTAAAAACTCTGCTCTTGACATATTCGCCATTCAAAATTTACATAAAACACACTTCTTTCACTCTAATAGCCCAGATTTTTTTCCTCACATAGCCTACCATTTAGCTGCAAAGACTCTTCTGCCTCAAGATGTAAACATAGGGAAAAAAAATTAACAGCAACTGCATAATATTCTCTCTACACACTGCTGTTGGATGGAAAATACAAAATTAATAAAAGAAAAGAAAAGAAAGGTTCCATCTTAGATTCTCACAACCTCTTGTTCCGCATGTATCCGATTCTGATGCTAAGGTGACAGTGTATGTAAGTAGATTTTTGTTTTCAGTGAAGGAGACCTGGGAAAAGATGGATTTATCTCTTTTTCTTCAAGTTATCAGATGGTACGTGCTCCTCAAAGCCCTCACTTTCTGGAACTAGAGCACGTTCCAGGATCACACGGCCTTCCTTATAACGCTGGCTGTCTTCAGTAGCAAACTCATAGATCCATCCCAGTTTGCTATTGCAGTTTTTGCAGCTCACATCCCGAACCATGTGGCGGCCAGTGAGCATGACCCGATCTTGAACTTCACTGTCCTGTAGGTTAACTACCTTGTTAAAAAGAAACGCTCTACCGGTGGCACCTGTGAACCGAGTGGAGATGAGTTCTGAGCGGTTAGTCAGGATTGTCACAGTTTGCACAAGAAAACAGATGGGTACCACCAATATGATCAAGGAAAATTCTGCCCATTTTGATAGCTGAAGTTCTAAAAAACCTGAAATTCGAATATTAGCTGAGCATGGTGGTGGACACCTGTAAGAGGCTGGAGCAGGAGGATCACAAGTTCTAAGCCAGCCTCAGCAACTTAGCAAGACTCCTGAGTGGCGGTGAGATCCGCGCTGCCAGCGGCTCTTCACTCTTCAGCTGGGACCTACCTCAGCACCTTAACAGTCTCTGTCCACTCCTTCTGAAGACTTTCCCACGTGTCCACCTCCACCCAGTTGGAAGACTTGGTGGCAAGTTCTGCCATGATGATTCGGTGGTGGGCAGGGATGAGCCCTTTCTTCTTATATGCATCACCAACAGGAGAAATTATGCCTTTGATAACTCTATATTTTCCTGGATAAAGAGTTAGATTGGAAATTAGGAATAAGAAATTTCGTGCACAGAAAATATTATGATTTTATTTATTTATTTATTTTGTGGAACTGGTTTGATTCAACCCAGGACCTTCCACATGCTAGGCAAGCACTCTACCACTGAGCTACATCCCAGTTCCCTTTTTTTTTTTTTAAAGAGAGAGAGAGAGTGAGAAAGAGGGAGAGAGAGAGAACTTTAATATTTATTTTTCAGTATTTGGCGGACACAGCATCTTTGTCTGTATGTGATGCTGAGGATCGAACCCGGGCCGCACGCATGCCAAGCCAGGCGAGCGTGCTACCACTTGAGCCACATCCCCAGCCCCCAGTTCCCTTTTTGATTTTGGTTTTAGTACTGAGGATTGAACCAAGGAGTGTTCAATCACTGAGTCACATCCCCAGACCCTTCCTTATTTTGAGACAGGGTCTCACTAAGTTGCTGAGGCCTCAAACTTGCAATCTTCCTATCTCCGTCTCTCCAGTAGCTGGGATTATAGGCATGTGCCACTGCACCCAGATCAATATTACTTTTGCAATCACAGATTCTCTTTCTTCTTTTAAAAAAACAACAACAGTGATTTAGATTTGTTAATTGATTGAAACTATGGTAAAATATACATACATAAAACTTACCATTTAACAACTTTAAATGCATAGTTCCACAGCATTAAGCACAAGCAACCATCACCAGAATGGATACTCCTTAATTTTTTCAGATGATGGTATGAGGGGGCTTGAATTCAGGGGCACTCAACCACTGAGAGCATCCCCAGCCCTACTTTGTGTTTTAGAGACAGGGTCTCGCCGAGTTGCTTAGTGCCTCACTTTTGCTGAGGTTGGCTTTGAACTCGTAATCTTCCTGCCTCAGCCTCCCGAGCTGCTGAGATTATAGGTATGTGCCACAGCGCCTAGCCTGTACAGTTTACAATTTGATTGGTACTGCCAAATTACCTTGCAAAAAGCTTTAATGGATTTGCATTGTCCTCCTAGAGTGTATGCAGACCGTTTCTCCCCAATCTCTAATACTGGACATTATTGAGTTTAAAAACTTTTTTCAGTGTGAGAGGCAAAATATATGTAATTTTTAATTTTGGTTCTGAGATTATTGGAATTAATTAAGGTTGAACATCCATCCATCCATGTGCATCTAACAGAAAATTGTTTGATGATTTATGCAACAAAATAAAATGTGTTTATATACGAATATTTGCATGTAAAACTACAGAAAAACGATTGAAGAGTGAATTTTATTTTACTTTTGGTATTAGGGACTGAATCCGGGGGCACTTTACCACTGAGCTATACCCCACAGCTCTTTTTATTTTTCATTTTGAGACAAGGTCTCCCTAAATTACTCAGGGTCTTGCTCAGTTGTTGAGGCTGGCTCCAACTTGTGATCCTCCTGCATCACTGGGATTACAGGTATGCACCACCACATTTGGCTGGAAGAATGTATTTTTAAACTATTAGCAGTGGTTGCCTCCAGAGAAATGAGAGGTGAGCATTTTATTTCATATACATGCTCTTATATAACATTATTTATCTCTTAGAGCATATACATGGTGACCATAAAGTATGGAAACATAAGTGAATAATCATAACAAATGATTTCTTTCTTTTTCCTCTTGAACTAGGGATTGAACCCAGGGACACTTTACCACAGAGATGCATCCCCAGTCCTTTTTATTTTTTGAGACAGGGTCTCCCTAAATTGCTTAGGGCCTCACTAAATTAATGAGGCTGGCTTTGAACTTGTGATCCAGCTCCTTTAGCTTCCCAAGCCACTGGGATTACAGGTACGTGCCACCAAGGCCAGCACAAGTGATTTCTTGATTCTGCATTATAATATACATAAAATAATATTCATACTTGATTGCCACCCTTTATTTGTGTGTTGTTTATGAATATGTTAGGCTGATCCTGAAGCCTTTATGTAAATTAGTGTTTCAACATGGGCATGGTACGATTAAATTTTTATTTTAGAAAAAACATTTGGGGGGGCGCGCGCGTGCGCAGGCGACGCGCGGAGGGACGAGGCAGAGCCGCGGAACTGCCACCAGGTCGGTCCACGCCGCCGCCGCCACCACCATGGGAGTGCAGGTGGAGACCATCTCCCCCGGAGACGGGCGCACCTTCCCGAAGCGCGGCGAGACCTGCGTGGTGCACTACACCGGGATGCTTGAAGATGGAAAGAAATTTGATTCTTCCCGGGACAGAAACAAGCCCTTTAAGTTTATGCTAGGCAAGCAGGAGGTGAACCGAGGCTGGGAAGAGGGGGTGGCCCAGATGAGTGTGGGTCAGAGAGCCAAACTGACTATCTCCCCAGACTATGCCTACGGTGCCACTGGGCACCCGGGCATCATCCCACCACACGCCACTCTGGTCTTCGATGTGGAGCTTCTAAAACTGGAATGACAGGAGTGGCCCCTCCCTCAGCCCTGTTCCTGGATCTGCCAGGGAGGGATCCGGTGCTTCCAGACGCGTGCACATGAATCCATTCCAGACGCGTGCACATGAATCCATACGGAGCTTTTCCTGGCGTCCCACTACACTTTGTATAAACATCTACCCTGACTCAATGTGTTCTGTCACTCAGCTTTGCTTCTGACACCTCCATCTCCCCTTCCCCTTTCTCCTTGTATGTGTGTTTACCTAAACTATATGCCATAAACCTCAAGTTAGTCGTTTTGTTTTCATTTTGAGGTGAAGATTCAGTTTCAGTCTTTAGAATCTAGGTTTCCATTTAAGTATCTTGACAGGTATTAACAGCACAAGTGATGGGTTAACTTTAGAATAGGAATTGGTGTTGGGGGGTGGGGTTTGCAAGAATCTTTATTTTATTTTATTTTTTTGGATGAAATTTTTATCTATTATATATTAAACATTCTTGCTGCTGCGCTGCAAAGCCATAGCAGATTTAAGACGCTGTGGAGGGCTGAATTACTCTCCGATGTGAGAAATGTCCTTGGGTTAAATTCAAAGCCCTGGGCTGGGGATGTGGCTCAAGCGGTAGCGCGCTCGCCTGGCATGCGTGCGGCCCGGGTTCGATCCTCAGCACCACATACCAACAAAGATGTTGTGTCTGCCGAGAACGAAAAAATAAATATTAAAAAAAAAAATTCTCTCTCTCTCTATCCTCTATCTTAAAAAAAAAAAAAAAAATTCAAAGCCCTACCCAAAACTGCAGTGGGGAGGGAAGGGCCTTTTCCTCGCCAGCCCACCCCCTCCCCAGAACCCCTCTGCCTTTTGAAAGCAGATCACTTTCACTCGATGTTGGACACTACAGGTATCTGTCCCTGGGCCAGCAGGGACCTCTGAAGCCGCCTTTGTGACCTGGCTGGTTTTGGTTTGGGGTCTTTTGGGGGTTTTTTGTTTTGGGGTTGTTTTCCCTTTCTTTCCTCCATCTTGTGGTTTTTCTAATGGATTTTCAGAACTTTTGTAATATCGAAGCTATCCAAGTTCCACTTCGTAAATTTTAAGAACCTTAATTGAAAGTTTAAATTGAAGGTGCTGTTTGTAGACTTCAACAACCAGTGAAAGCCCGGCCATCGTGACACATCCTCGAGTGTTCTCTCAGAAAACGCTGCTGGCCAACGCAGCTTCAGCACCGCCTGTTTTTTGATGCTTGGCTCTCTGCTGTTCTCCAGGTTTCCTGGCTTTTTGTCCCTCAGTCCCTTCTTACCCTTTGCTGTCCTGTGTAGTGATTTGGTGAGAGAAATTGTTGCTTTGTCCCCGCTTCCCCCGCACCACGTATGAGTTTCAAGTTTTACTATTGCAGTAAAAGTGCTTTATGCTGGCTTTTCTCAAAAAAAAAAAAAAAAAAACATTTGGGGGCTGAGTCTGTGACTCAATGGTAGAGTGCTTGCCTAGCATGTGTGAGACACTGGGTTCGATCCTTGGCACCACATATAAATAAATGAATAAAATAAAGGTCCATACATATAAAATATTAAAAAAAAAAGAAAAAGAAAAAAGAAAAGAAAAAGCATTTGGAACTATGTGGATGTGAAGCTAGTGGAGAGAGAAGCAGCAGAATGAAACCCCAGCTCAGCTTGATGGCTGGGGTGTAGCTCAGTGGTAGAGCACCTGCCTAGCATGTATGAAGCCCTAGGTTCCATCCCTGAACCACAGAGCAGAACAGAACAAAGAGTCCAATTAGGTGGGGTTTCACCTCCAGACAGCAAATTCTTACCTAGTCCTCACCTTATATGACTCAAACCTTCTGTTTCCCTGAGGAAAAGATACAGTTTTTATGTGCATGATGTAAACCTGTTATAAAATGAATCCCTGGATAAAATGGAATTATGTAACCATAATGAAAGCAAGGTTTTGTTTCCTTTTTTCATAAGGGAACAAAAAAGCTCAAGTGTTTTTTTTTTTTTTTTATATATTTTTTTCAGTTGTCGATGGATTTTTAATTAATTAATTATATGTGGTGTTGAGAATCAAACTTAGTGCCTCACCGTGCTAGGCAAGTACTCTACCACTGAGCCACAACCCCAGTCCTAGGGTTTTTTGTTGTTGTTGTTATTGTTTGTTTTGAGATGAGGTCTTGCTATTTGTGGCCCAGGCTGGTCTTGAATTTCCAGGATCAAGTGGAAATCTTCTTGCCTCAACCTACTAAATAGCTGGGTCCACAGGTGGGTACCATCACACCTGGATGAAACTTGCATTCTGAGGATCATTGTTGCTTCTACTGAGCTCTAAATACATAAAACTGAATTTTTATTCTATAGGCCAGTAGCCAGATGCGTAGACACATTCCATGGACATACCTTACCTGCTTTTGTGTTTGTTTTGAGGCAGTCTTGCTGTGCGCTCAGGCTGGTTGTGAACTAGTGCTGGGACTATATGCACACACCACTACATTCAGCTCCTCACCCTTTTTTGGCTAAGTCTCTGTGCAAGTGAGTAGGGAGCATGTTTGTACCTTGTTGATTAATTGTTCACACTGACAGAGACCCAATCAAGTGATTCTTTAGCCTTGAATTGCTTTTCTATTTATTTACTGAGGATTGAGCCCAGGGGTGCTTAACCACTGAGCCACATCCCCAGCACTTTTTATTTTTTGTTTTGAGACAGTCTCCCCAGGGCCTTGCTAAGTTGCTGAGACTGGCAAACTTTGATCCTCTGCCTCAGCCTCCTACGCTGCTAGGATTATAGGCATGTGTCACCAAGCCAACACTTACATTGCTTTTGGTTACTGTTCCTACCTGTTCCATTCAGGTAATCCTTGGCCAGCTCAAATAATCTGAGGTGCATGTTGGTGATTGGATTAAATGAACCACAAGCAAGAAGAACCACTTCAGTTTTCTCTGATTTGTCCATGGTAAGAACTTGAAGTTGTTGCTCTAAATGGAAAACTCTGACATCTTCCTTGTTGTCTACAAAGGAAAAAGAAAATAAATCCAGTTATGTGATCATTAATAAATAAATAAATCAATAAATCCATGTGATCATTTCAAACAGATGGACAACAATATTTGGCTATAATGATTATGCTAAATGAATTGCACAATTGGTATTATTTCCCCACCTTTCCTTTTTAACATAAATATGTAGCTCCTATCATAAAGGGAGGGAATCTCCTTCTCTATTCTTTGTGATTTGTTTTGCCCAAAAGAATGTGGGCAGTAGTGATAAGGTGCCAGCTCTGAGCCTAAGCCTCACAGGCTGTCTTAGTCCATTTCCTGTTGCTATAATGGAACAGTAGAAGTGGGTGCTTTATAAAGAAAAGAAATTCAGGAGTTCCAAGAACATGATGCTGACTTCCTACTGAGGGTCCCAGGTTGTATCACAAGGTGGCAGAGAAGCAGAAAGAGAACCAGGCACATGCAGAAGGAACTAAGCACATATAAAGTGTTGTACAGTGTTGACCTTACTTTATAACAATCCATTCTCTTGAGAAGTCACCTCAGGGACCACCATGACCTAATTACCTTCCACTAGGCCCACATTTTAAAGGTTCCACCACCTTCACATTGCCACACTGGAGACCAAGCTTCCAGCACATAAACTTTTGGGAGACTTAGTACCATATTCAAACCATAGCAGAGGCATCGAACCCTTCTGTTTTCAGGACTGCCACCAGCCATGAAAACTAGCCCAAGCGAGCCTGCTGGAGTGTGGTGGAACTCGTGGAAGAGCGCTGGTGTCCCAGCAGATGGACAGCCAACCATGCAGTATGTGACTGCAGCCGTCCTAGGCCAGCCAAACCCAACCAACTTGAGCAGACAGGCAGCAAGTCTAGGTGGAATCAGCCTGACTCACAAGCAAAAATCAATATTTTTGATGGATGCCACTCAAGTTTTGTGATTGTGTTATTGTGGTTATCGTTAACTGAGAGGATATCATCATCTAACAAATATAAATCCTAACACCTGTCTTTAAAAACAGTATTTTCACCTCTTTGTCAACATGATCATGACATCATTTTTTAAAAAATTTTCTTTTTAGTTGTAGATGGACATGATATCTTTATTTATTTATTTGGTGCTGAGGATGGAACCCAGCGCCACACGTGTGAGGCAGGCACTCTACCACTGAGCTACAGCCCCAGCCCAACATTATCATTTTGCATGGAGTGAGATTTATAATCTACATATACCTTTGTTACATCATTCTATTCAATCTTTCTTAAACCCTAATGAAGTCATGCTAGATATCTGATTTAAAGTATTGGGGACGGAGTGCATTTCCTGGTAGAGCACTTTCCTAGCATATGCAGGCCTGGCTTTGATCTCCAGAACTGCCAAAAATAAAATAAAATAAAAGTTGAGGTGGTGAGGAAGTAGCTCAGTGGTGGAGTGCTTGCCTAGCATGCATGAGGCCCTGAGATTGATCACCAACACTGGAAAAACAAAAAACAAAACTGTGATACAATTTGACCAAACTTGTCCACCTACAGAAATCATAACATGGAAAAGGCCCACGAGGCTGGGGATGTGGCTCAAGTGGTAGCGCTCGCCTGGCATGCGTGCGGCCCGGGTTTGATCCTCAGCACCACATACCAACAAAGATGTTGTGTCCGCCGAGAACTAAAAAATAAATATTAAAAATTCTCTCTCTCCTCTCTCACTCTCTCTTTAAAAAAAAAATAAATTAGTATTAAAAAAAAAAAAAAAGGCCCACGATGAAAACCAACCACCATTCCATCCCCTCCCCCAGCTGCCTAAAGGCAACTACTCCTCACCTTTTCAGTTTTTTCTTCTGCTAGATTCTACCATAATTCTACATTGTGAGCTTCTGATGCTATTTCTCAAGTTATCAAAATTACAGAGTTCCTAATGACATCCTCCTAAGATCTGTGAGAATTAGTTCTCATATTCCCTTGCTACTTTCTCCCAGACTTCCTGTATTGGCAGGAATCTCCAGAGAAACAGAACCAAAGAACATATGTAATTAGGAGGAGAGATTGATCAGATTTTCTCAGAGGATCACAGAAGCTGAAAAGTTTTACAATGGCTGCCTCAGGCTTGAGACAGGGAAAGTGGCGGCCTCTCATCGCAAGAACCCAGAAGCAGCTGGTGTGGTGATGCACACCTGTAATCCCAGAGATTTTGGGAGGCTGAGGCAGGAGGATCACCAAGTTCGGGGTCAGCTTCAGCAATTTAGCAAGAATTTGAGACACTTACTGAGACCCTGTCTCAAAAAATACAAAGGCTGGGATGTAGCTCCATGGTAAAGACCCCTTGAGTTCAATCGCTGGTACTTAAATAAATAGAACTCTGATTTGTGTGACCTTGATTCAATTACCTCTTTCAGTTTTCTCAACTGTCAAATGAAGACAGAGACAGAAGCAATCTCAGTTATTTTGAGTAAGTTTTTATTTTGTGGGGCTGGGGGTGGAACCCAGGGCCTCAGCATGCTAAGTTCTACCACTGAGCTCTGCCCCAACCCTGAAGATTACTTCTCAGGATAATACATGGCCAAGTGCTCAGCATATTGCCTGTACCACCGTGTTAAAAAGGAAAGCTAAAGACTTTTTTTTTTTAAAGAGAGAGTGAGAGAGGAGAGAGAGAATTTTTAATATTTATTTTTTAGTTCTTGGCGGACACAACATCTTTGTTGGTATGTGGTGCTGAGGATCAAACCTGGGCCGCATGCATGCCAGGCGAGCGCGCTACCGCTTGAGCCACATCCCCAGCCCGAAAGCTAAAGACTTTGAGGAAAAGAATAATACTGATGATGGTGATGAGGCAGGACTGATTAGAAGAGCAAAACAAGAGAGAAAGATCAGCTACAAAGTAAGCACAGCTTCATTTAAGTAAATCTATGGGGTAAGAATTAAGAAAGAGATCTGAGGCCATCTCCAAACACACAGTAATCCCAGCTACTTTGAAGGCTGAGGCAGGATCATCTCCTGTGCCCAGCAGTTCAATGCCAGCCTGTGCAACATAATGAGACCACATCTCAAAAAAAGAAAAAAAAAAAAAACTTAATGATAGCGATCACAGGGACAGTGCTAATTGTGCATAGGAAATATAGGAAAGAACAGTCAGAATGGTCAGCATGGCATTAAGGAATGAGTTCAGCTGGGCGCAGTGGTGTACATGCCTTTAATCCCAGGGATTTGGGAGGCTAAGACATGAGGATCACAAATTCAAGGCCAGTCTCTGCATTTTAGCAAGACCCTATCTCAAAACATAAACTGGGCTTGGTGGTGCATGCCTATAATCCCAGCAACCTGGGAGGCTGAAGCAGGAGGATTGCAAGTTCCAGGCCAACCTCAGCAATTTTTTTTTTTTTGAGAGAGAGAGAGAGAGAGAGAGAGAGAGAGAGAGAGAGAGAGAATTTT